GAGAGAGAGAGAGAGAGAGAGAGAGAGGGGGACAGCACAAAAGGCCAATGCAAGTCCTTACAGCGTTAACAGGCTGCAATTATAGTACTTATACTATACTCCCATGTGGGGAGTATAGTATACTTATATGTTCTATGTTCAGTTAGCGGAGTGTAGACCAGACACCTGTTATCTCGGCCGTGAATGGCAAGGTGTGTCTGATTGTTGTGGGGGCACAGGAAAGGATCTAACTAAAGATTGTTGACAGCGTGATTGTCTAAAGACTTTGGCAGCTTGGGTCGTCAATCTATTACTCAGCCTCCCTTGATGATTCTCAAAGGTTCGGTCTCTAGGCAAACAAAACAGAACAAAATGAAAAACAAACAAACCAACAAATCAAAACACAGAGAGAGATAGAGGAGAGAGCAGGTTTAAGCCTTTCACTGCTGTTAGTGGTTTTGACAGGACCTACAGAGTAGAGGGCGCTGCTGGGTCATAACATCTAGTGTGTTGGCCTTGCTGGGATAGCAGGAGCAGGCTAATTACCTTAAAGATTGAGGAGAAACCTGATTTTGGGGGTTTGCTAGCTGGATGGGTTAGTATTCTATGGGCTAGGCTTAGTGATGGATTAAGGTGATCCAGTTAGGATCCCGTGACAGCTCACTGTGATCCACGTGGAGGCAACCGTGATTCTAAGAACTATATGGTTCAACACCCGTCTGCGGCTCAGTGGTGGAAATTAAGACTCTTGTGCCAGAGACCCAAGTTTGAATCCCAGCTCTGACAGTATATGTTTTAAAATCTTGCTAATTACCTATAAAGCCCTGAATGGTTTAGCACCTCAGTATTTGAGCGAGCTCTTATTGCGTTATAGTCCTTCACGTCCGCTATGATCTCAAAACTCTGGGCATTTGATAATACCTAGAATATCAAAATCAACTGCAGGTGGCAAATCATTTTCCTATTTAGCTCCCAAACTCTGGAACAATCTACCTAACACTGTTCAGGAGGCAGACACACTCTGTCAGTTTAAATCTAGATTAAAAACCCATCTCTTTAACCTGACTTACACATAACACACTAACACATCTCTATCATTCAAATCCGTTGAAGAATTGTTAGGCTGCATTATTTAGGTCAACCGGAAGCGGGAACACTTCCCATAACACCCGATGTACTTGTTACATTGTTAAAAGAATGGCATCTACGCTAATATTAGTCTGTTTCTTTCTTATTCCAAGGTCACCATAGCCATCCGGATCCAGTCCATATCCAGACCAGATGGACCTAGAGACAACCTCGACAGCCCTGAATGTCAGTGGAGACCAGGACAACTAGATGAGCCCCAGAGACAGATCCCCTCCGAAGACCTCGTCACCTAGACGACCATTGGGACAAGACCACGGGAACCAGATGAGTCCTCTGGACTTTGTTGCAGCCTAGAATTAAACTGCTGGCTTCCAGAGGAGAACGGAACACTATTTCAACACACTATTTCCCAGTCTAATACTGTAAAGCTGCTTTGTAAAAATATACAAAGCACATATAAGTAATGGTTATTTATATATAAATAACCATTTATATATAAATAAATGGTGACTTGACTTGACTATTTACACTAAGTGCAAATAGCAATGGATTATATTTACACTAAGTGAAAATAGCAGTATTTTTCAATGATATGCTATTTACACTAAGTGCAAATAGCTATAGATTGTATTTACACTATGCTAAAATAGCAAGATTTTCTGCTATATATACTACTTATTTAAAATAGTGGCAATTATCTGCACCTCAGTATTGTAGTACATTATAAAAAAGTACATAATAATAACGTACTGAGTGTAAATTATCATTTTAATTCAAATTATTAAATGGATGCATTGGAACAAAAAAGCCCTTCCTACACCCACCCTAATCCTACCCGATACTTTATTTTCAACTTTTTGATTATTGCCTTCATTTTTTATTGAAAATAAATGCCTTTCCGATGTGATATGAGATTTGAAAAGGAAGAATAAAATTTCGGCAAAAGGCGGGTTTGAACTCGAGTCGATCGTGTCAAAAAGCACACACCTTACCAGATAGGCCACTAGAACTGATGTTTTACAAGCGTCTTTTGTAGTGTTGATTACCAACAAGGCGGGCTATTTGCACTTACCCTTACCAAAAAGTAGTATACTTCAAGTTTATTTTAGTAAGTATACTTAAGTAAAGTTCAAGTATATTTTAAGTATGCTTCATTTAGTAAGAATACAAATATCAGTGTACTAGTAGTATACTTGTACGTGTACTATTTCAATACTCCTTGGGACTAAATTGGCCCACTTTCTAATATATAAAAATATACTTTTAAGTATACTTTAAGTATAACAGCAGTAAACTTTGAGTACACAACTAGTTTACATCAAAATGTTTAGTTTGTACTGCAACTATACTAAAAGTGAAGTTACAGGTATACTGATAGTTTACTAATTAAATACTTGCAGTAGCATTTTTAGTACACTTTGAAGTATAGTCTCAGTAAACTGCTAGTTTAGTAGTTTTATACTACAAGTATACTCGTAAGTTTTTTTTAAGTGAACTTTACAATTCTGTACAGAAGATATGTACTAGCACCCCCTACCGTATAACAATGAAAACACGGATTCTAGGAGCACAATTGTAGCTAAAATATATTTAGACTTTTTCTAAGTATAAGTCAAGTATACTTAAATGTCATTTTAAGTATATTTCTGAGAAGTACATAAAGCCCATTTCTGAGAAGTACATAAAAAGTAGACTAAAAGTATACTTTCCTATTTTTAGTTTAAAAGAAGTATACTAATAGCACACTTGACTAAACTTCTTTTTCGTAAGGGTAGTGTAAATAGACACTTTGTAAAAGAAATAGCTTATTGTTTGGGCCCTTGTCGTAACATTTACATAAACCTCAGGAAGTAGACGTGCATACATACAGGCAGACACAATTGCTGAAGAAGAAAAAAAAAACATTTCCCAGACATAAACATCGAGCCTGTGTCCCAACAGTCATCTAAAATTTGGAGGCATGGCAGTTCTTACGTTTACTGATGATCTTTCTTTCCCTTTCTCAAATCGAGCCGATCTCAGATGCCTGTCTGTGTGACGTCACAAAAACAGGCCCCTCCCACGATAGTTTGATTGACAGTAGCGTTTCAGCACAGACTGGACTGGTGTCTTACCTTAGACCCGCTCTGAGTGAGCTGTCATCAGTCCGCCACTGTTTCACCGCCGGAGCAGATGTAGACAAGAATGACTCCTAAGCAATTGAGGTTGTTGTCATTATGTAATAATGAACTTAGCAGTCGTCATTTAAAGTATAATAGTGGCAACATACTAGTCGGATACTCCCGACATCTGAGCCACTGAAGACGCAGTGGATTACGTTTGTTTTTGAAGGGAATGCGCCCCCAATCCCCGAGCGAATCATTCGTGATCCAGCTTCACCTACAGAAGTGAGTATAAGGTTTTTTAATGAGTCTTTGCAAATCGCCTTTACTGATAATGTGCTAATTAGCAAGTTTATTAAAGTAAAGTAAACAGTCCCTCAGAGAGCGGCTTGGAAGAGAGGGGCGGGGGCAGCAGAGCTCATTAACATTTAAAGGAAAATGCTACAACACGGCTTGCTCTGAAAATACTTGTTTTTGACAGGGTAAAAAGTTGTTTTTTACACCACCATTGAGAAATTTTAACCAAACTATGTTACAGACTTTTCATTAAGACCCTAAAGAATCATATCCACTTGTGGAAAATGGGCATCCGGTGACCCATTTAAGGTATATTGCATTAACCAGGCCAATCAAACATGTTCCGGGCTTTGTCCTCGATGTCTCACTCTTGTGATCATGTGTCACATGATACCTGTACCTATTTTCAAAGATGCATTACTTGGACCCCCTTGAAGCAGGAAATGCTATAAGTTCTTTTTCCCACTGTGGTCTTCCACCCGAAGCATTGCTCAGTTTCAGGCTGGGTTGTGTTACTCTTTTGAGTAATTCCACAACTCCTCATTCCGAACCCCAGTTCCCACAGAGCATGGTGATGTGCCCTCAGGTTAAAAATTATTTGTGTTGAGTCTACTTGACTATTATGTTATGAGATGCCAAATGTACTAGTAGCAAAAATTAAATAAAAAAGAAATAAGTAAAAAGAAAGGAAAATCCACAACAGAATAGAAATGATAGAAGAATAGAAAATTACAGCACAACCAAAACTAAACATTTTTTAGTCTGTCTAATAATGACATCATGTTCAATTTGTTGGTTGGTCTTTAGGTGGTTTGGTTCTCTAAGTTGCTGCATTAAAGTTGGTCAAAGAACAGTTCACAACTGGCTTGCATAATGACAGTTTCCACTGTCGTTTTGAAATTTTTAATTGTTCATTTGGAACTGGTCCTCACACGCACACTCTAACACAAGAACATGCCCCTCAACAGAGACAACGAGAGAGAGAGAACAAGCCACCATATTATACAAATACAGAATGCATGCAAACTGGTTTCCCCATATGCTCTCATCAAACTCAAATCAGTCCGGTACAAAGAGTCCAACCTGTACCAGAATGGTGGGTGGGCCTCTCTCTCTCTATTCGCTTTAAACTTTTCTCTGTCTGGTCAGACACATGTCTGTGATATTTCCTAAATTATGAGCATTGTGCAGCCAAGGTTCGGGCTGTTTTATTCCAGCCTTTGACAGAACAAATGCCAAAGTGAGTCGCAGGACTCTGGCAGCTACCGTGTGTGCAGCTCCACAGATGCTTTGTCCACAGCAGCCCAGCTCTGCCCACCACTGGCCCTCAGCAGTGCGCACAATAGAAAATGCCAATTTTATAGTGGTTTCTCTGGTATTCTAGCCAGGACATAGATTGCAATGACACTTCTTTCTTACTCCATGCCACCCAATTGTCTTTAGTGTATAAAGAATAATTCTGACAAAACCAGCCAAAGAGGATCCTGCTGAAGGCAATGTAACCATAAAGGTATTGTACCTCATGACTCAGAGACATAGGGAACCTGCTTGTATACAGTACTTTTATTTTTAATGTATGTTTGAAAAAGGGGTAAACATTCATTCAAGATGTCATGGTTGCAATAGTAAATAAAGGAAATAATTTTTGGTTAGGAGTTGTTATTGCACAAATTCAATATTGCTCACCATTCACATTATTTATTCAATTATAATTACTGCCAATATATATATATATATATATATATATACATACATACATGTATACACACACACACACATATATATATATATATATATATATGCTTACACTCGCACACACACTTACATTTAGTAAATGTTACATTTAGCAGACGCTTTTATATAATGTGACTTACAAATGAGGGTAA